ATTCTTCCGAGATCGACAGCGACAGAGACTACACTTTCTAAGAGCTAGTGTCATTCCTATTTCTCCTACAAAATGCTACAATCGGTGAGCGTTCATCTGATGGACGAGCGACGTCTATCGCGTCTCACATATGATGATCGCCGAGGTTCGCGATTATCGCGTGGAACCACCCTCGCTGACGTCGTCGTCACTTCGCAGCATCTCTGTCCTCCACAATGGTATAGCGTCGGAATTGTAAACGATTTTCAACCATCCTTGATCGTTCCTGCTGACAATCCAATTGGATGGGCAGTGTTCAATCCTCTGCCCACACCTGTTCAGAGAACGCGTAATCGCACCACAGGTATGACTAAGAAGCTAACACAACTGTTTTTCTTTTAAAAAATCATTTCCATTTGAATTTTTTATGAATGCCGGAGGCGTGGCTCTAATCTGCTTACAAAGAGTACTTGAGCTAAGTCCGCAGTTGCCCTTTCACAAGCGTTATTCGCCGTTGCGATACGGTGTCGTAGTGACATCACTACGAGAAAGTCTTTTTGTAGTCGTCGTGCTGCTGGCAGGATGTCGAGGCGTGATCCGTTTAAGTTTTGCATCGTTGCACACCAAATCACATCCCGCTCAACGACAAGGTGTTTGTCGTGAGCAGCCCGTAGCATCTTGGACGCCGCGTAATTTGAGAACTAGCACCTCGTTCTGTTCGAAACACACTGCTGTCCTCGACATCCTTGACATCCTCGACATCCTCCTCATCCTCCTCATCCTCCTCTGTCCGTTTACATTTGCTTCAGCTCTATTTCGCGCTCGTGCACGTGCTCGTCTGAATGCACCACCACGTGTATACATGTGTGTCAGTGCGAACATGAAATAGCGCATGCATCAGTCAGACCGCGATGGACGACCTCCAAGCACAAATCCTCGCCGCAAACTTGGGCAAATTGGCCGACGAAAACATTTATTTATGTTTACACTCACATGTCAGTGGTCAATAGACGAAGAAGAGTTCTGCATGGTGCATGCCATGTGCTCGGCTAACTCAGCAGCAGCTCAGACTCCCGCTGTTTTTGACATTTTAACGCCACCCACTCGCGATATCAATTGAAAACGGTCATTTCTCAAGCG